TCCAGGGAGGTAGCTCATGGGATAGAAGTGTTTGATGCTAAGCTTGGTAAGCTGGGTTCAACCCTTGGGACCTACATGGTAGGAGGAAGGAACCCAAAAGTTGTCCTCTGAACTACTCATACACACAAACACACACACAAGATAATGCATAATGCATGTAATTTTAAAAAAGCCGAAAACACAGGGGCTGGGGATGCGGTGTTTGCTAGCATGTCACGGCCTTAGGTTCTATCTCCAGCCAGACAAGCCAGGCATAGGGTGCTTATCTGTAAACCTAGCAACCTAGAGATGGGAACCAGAGCGTCAGAAGCTCAAAGTCATTCTCAGCTGCGTGGTGAGTCTGAGAACAGAACAGAATGATCTTTAAAAAGGACAAAAAATGACTGAATACCCAATACTGGTGAGATACGGAACAAAGGAAGTTCTTAGTACTGTTGATGGCGTGTTAATCGGTATACAGCTGCCACGGAGAACAGATTGGAGGTCCACAAACACTGAAAGCAGATCCAGTTCACAATCAAACCCACTACTTGGCAATGTCTGTGCTGCCAAAATAAACGTAAAAGAAAATAAAATCACCCATACCTGTATTCTTACGTTTATTTTGGCAGCAATAGCTAAGACATAGAATCATCCCAGATGCCCACGAACAGATAGATGAATAGGTAGGGGTCTTTCTCCCATGGGTGTTGGGAGCCCAGCATGAAGGTCCTTGCACCCACAGATCTCCGGAAAAACCAGGAATGTTAAGCACACGGGATTGTCCTTTCAAAGGAATGGATGTGGAATCTGTTTTTCATTCAGAAAACTGGGAATTGAGGTGATTAACAGCCTGGTGATCTGTGTTACCTGTTGGGCTAGACCATATGAGGCTCCTACAACCTGGACAGTCATTTAGACTACTGGGTAATAATTTCCTAATAATCTAAATGGCTCTTACATTATCTGCATTGCTAGGAGCTCCCCCAAGCTCCCATAACCAGCAACCAGAGGTGTCTAATAGCACGAGAGATCTCCTCCATAGCTTTATGACCAGGCCAGATCCTTCCTTAGGCCCTTACGCTAGTCCAGGCAGCCTATCTCTGGAACCCATCTTCTTGGAAAAAATGGCATGTACCCTGAGATGAATTTTGATGTAATTATGCCTCTTGTGCACTGGGGATTATATTATGCCAGGAAACTTTTTTTCCTAAATTATACTGAGTTTAAATAGGCTGGCGTTACACCACCTGGCGTTAGACTTCTCTAGAAGGTTTGGTCCAGGTTGACCAAGTCAATTTGAACCGAGTTTTTGTTCTCAGCTCTTCACAGTTCATTTCCCCACCTGACACCTGCAGAGAGTCCCTCGCGGATGCTGTAAGAAGCAGACCAGGCTGTAGACTAGCACTCTAGTGCTCTACCTCTAGGTAGGAGTGTGTGTTAGGAGGAGGCAAGAAGAATACAGAAAGAGAAAGTTCTGGTGCTCTACAGCACAGTGGGGTGGCTGTAGCTCACAAGAACCAACTGCCTATTTTATCAATAACTAAAGGGAGATGCTCCAAGGCTCCAAACAGAATGGGATGCTAAGCCAGGTCAAACACCAGTTCTGTTTGCACACACGTATGTGTGAGCAGACATAGCACATGTGTACTGAAACACCACACTGTACCTCGTAAGTCTGTACAGTCATTATGTATAAGTCAAAAATTAATGTATGCATTGTTGTTGTTTCTGGCTTTGGATTGGTCTTGAATCCAGGCTGGTCTTGAAGTTTTGGGTTTAAAGATCTTGCCTCAGCCAACCGGGTACACAGGACTACAGATGCAGATCACTTTACCGGCTTAATAAGAGGTTTAAGATGGGGCTTAAGAGATGGCTGAGTGGTTAAAAGCAATAGTCGCTTTTCCAGAAGATGGCAATTCAGTTCCCAGCACCCACATGGCGGCTCACAACTGTCTGTAATGGTTTCAGGGAATCTAATGTGCTCCTCTGACCTGGAGGGCTCTGCATACATACGTGCAGAGATACATGCAGTGATACACAGAATACATGCTAGCAAAACACCCATACTAATAAAATAACTGAAAAATTATGCAAAAAAAGAGGTTAGGACAAAGTCTAAGGGAAGCTGTGAGATGTTTCAGCTTGAATGTTTTTAATGGGACGCTAACTCTCTTGGTTTGATTATGACACATTGTATATATGCATCTAATTATCACTCTGTACCCCATAAATACATACAATAATTCAATAATAATACAAGAATCAGAACGCTCCCCCTCTTCAACTGTTCCAGAGCATATCACTAAGTTATACTCCAGCTTGTCTCGAAGATTGCCTGTATCATGTCACTGAAACATGAATTAGAATTCTTCACCAGGATGTGCCCTCCTGTTGGATGGATGTTGTGGCTCCCCACGACAACGCAGGCCACGAATATGCTCACTCAACCTCTATCTACTGGTTATCTGTGATCTGCTAGGTGTTGTCATGGCTACTGGTTGGTTAGTTCCTAGCTCAGTTGAATCGGGGAGACCCAGTGTCTCTACAGCTGGGCCCATGAGCCCCACTTTTTGTAATTTTTTTGAAGTGTGGAAATAGATGGTTGTAATGGTTGTGCGATAATGTGAATGTATTTGGTGCCAGCATGTTTGTCACATAAAAAGGGTAAAATGTATGTATGCTTTAACACTCTAGGAGAATAGATCAAACCTTATAAAGAATTAAAAAGGCTATCATGCAATTAGAATGATAACAGGTGCAGCAAATCTCGGTATTAGTCATTATTATAAATGCTCTCCAGAGTCAGGGAGATGGCTCAGTAGGTAAAGGTGTTAATTGTGCACACCTGATGACTTGAGTTTAGTCCCTGGAACCCATATTGAAAAATCTGGGTGCTTTAGCATGCATCTGTAATCCTGGCATTGCTATGGTGAGATGGGAGGGAGAGACAGGAGCGTTGTCAGGGAGCTTTGGGTCAGCTAGGCTGGAAAACGAACCCCAGCAGCAGAAGCAACAAGGAGGATGCCGGCTTAGCAAGGTGGAAGAAGAGAAGTGACTTGCGTAAATTATCCTCTGATTTCTACATGTGTTTCACGATGTGTGCGTTCTCACACGCAAGCACATACATACCTGCACACTCATACCATGGCAGATACACCCTCACAAACAAACAAATGTTAAACACAGAAGGAATTTGATTTAAGGCATTGTTTACAGGTGATTGGAGTGTGCAAAAGTCAAATAGATATTGAGGCAACATTGAGATCCACAGTCTTGGGGAGTTGATTCCACCCTTTTCTAGAAGGACAAAGAGAAGAGCAGGGTTGAGGGTCACCCACAAGAGTCTGGAGCAGGTGTGGGACTGCAGGTGTTTCTTGTCAACTGGGGAAGAATGGAAGGGGAACTTTCCAGGCTTTTCCCTTCTTCCTCTCCTGATCTCCCAATGTCCAATGTGCCCTACTGGCAAAGAGCTGGGATGTTGGCATGGATGTCTCTGGAATTGTATGGCGCCTTTGTTCAACCCCATAAACAGAGCAGAGCAAGAGAACAAGCGGGCCAGGCACAATGACCTCCGGAGTCCCTTCAAGTTCATAGACAGCAGGATGCCCATGCTAGCCAGGGAGAGGTCCAAACCCAGGTTTGGATCCTGATTCTCTCACTCACTGACCTCAGCAAGACACACCACCCCTTTAAGCTTTGGTTTCCTTATCTGCAAAAGAGCCAGCGTGGTGCTAAAGCAGAAAGATCAAGTATTGGAGACCAACCTGGGCTACACAGTGAAATCCTGTCTTTAAAGGATAGATACGTGTGGACAAGGAAGGTTGCTGAGAAAGCCTGTATCTCACAGGGGCGTTGGGACGACCAAACTAAGCAATAGCTTAAAGTCGCAGTAAACATTTAATAAATATTTCTCTTTCAACCGAGAATTTATGACTTCATGGTAAAGGGCAGTGGGGTATTTGATCAGGGCCATTATGTCTCTCAACTTCTGAGAGGGAGGGGACAGAAGAGGTTTTCCTTTCGGAGGGTCTGCAGCGTGATTAAGACACCTGGTAACCACAGTGGGAGACTAACTAAGAAACACTGAAAGCATGCACAACCAATTCGCACAGTGCTTGCCCTAGAGGAGGTATCATCCCATTCGCTGCTCTAAGAGACTAGTTTGCAATGCACCATGGGATGTGGAAGGAGGAAGCCGGGGTGTGTTTCTGCCCAAGGAAGAGGAAGAAGATTGTGAGGTGACATGTTCTGTTTTGAAGAATGTGTAGGAGTTATCCAGAAACATGCACAAAAGTTGAGTTGAGAAAAGGGGTTGTTGGGGCGAGCTAGTCTGCATTAGAAGAGGATTTGAGGGGTCCATCATTGAGATGGTGGGATGAAGTGGGACACGGGTAGACATGGAAGAGAGAGTCAGTATGTGAAGGGTCTGCTATCAAGAGCTAAAGTGTTATGGGGACTGAAAGCCTTTGAGACTAGGGAGTAACCCACCCTCCCCACCATCCCCAATCTAGAATTTCAGAGTGATACATCTTCACAGACTCTTTCAGGGCCTCCACCAAAGGGCTGATGCATGTGGTTTAGAAAGCAGGGGCCATGCATGCAGACAGAATGAACCAGAGGACAACAGAGATTCCCCTTAACAGTAAATGCAGAACAGAAAGAGTAGTTAACTTCTGCTGATGCCAAAAGACTCAAGGTAAATAGTTAAAGAATTCTCATTTCCACAAGCTAGGAGCATCAGAGGTTGAATTATGATACTCGTGGCTGTGAGCAGGGTTTTGTGGGTTCTGATTACAGTCTGGTGTCCCCGTAACTGAAAGAGAAATATGAATTGATAATACCAGAGTCCTTTTACTTTTGAAGTTTTCCCCATAAACGATCTGTGAGCCTCATGACAGTAGTTCTTGGCATATAGACAAAGCTGGAAGTCTGAGTTTCATGCCCTGGGGACCAAGAAATTGCATTCAAAGCTGCAGGTGCATTTATGAATACATCACCAGCACCTTTCCCAAACCCACCTGTCTCCTTCCATAAGCCAAGATGGCTTCTTTGAGGTCTTGAAGCGTGTGCAGTTCAAGGTCTGGCTTCTTCCAGTGACCTCTTCTCCTCTCTTTGGGTGTCCACGCTGACACAGCTAACCCCTCTGAGTACAGGATCAGTGCCCCCTTTCTTGTGCTGAAGGTCTTAGGAAGAAAGAGGCTCCAGGAGTGCTGGCTGGCACTGTCTCCATCCTGGGGTTTGCTGACTAGGACATAGTCTTCCGGGGACTTCCAGTTCAAATAGTCCTTTAAGGAAAGGAAAATGCCTTGATTAAGACACTGTGGAAAATCCTTCTGTAGCAAACACTGTCTCTGCAAAGTTTTCAGCTTTCAAAACTGTGTATTTATTTATGTGTTGTTGTAGGAGGCCACTTGTTTGTTTCCTGGCCGCCCAGACTCCAGAAATAATCACATAGAAACTATATTATTTCAATCACTGCTTAGCCCATCACTTAAGTATGTTGCTAGCTAGCTCTTACATCTAGTATTAATCCATTTCCGGTATTTTATATTTTACCATGAGGTTCGTGGCTCACCCTGTCTGTCTCTGGCGGTGGCTCCGCGGCTTCTCTCAAACTCCGCCTTCTTTCTCCCAGCATTCAGTTTAATCCCCTCCCCCTAGCTAAGTTCTGCCTTGCTATAGGTCCAAAGCAGTTTCTTTATTAATCAGTGATAATCACAGCATACAGAGGGAAATCCCACATCAATTGTGTACACACATGCCCAACCAAGTGCCACGGCATGTGTAGAGGTCAGAGGACAGTGTGTGGGGTCAGACTCTGGCTTCCACTTTCTACAATCCTATACACACCTGCATTTAATTAAAAATAATAAAAGAAATCTTAAAACACACACACACAGAAACCCAACACAATAACAAAAGTTAGTAGAACTTGGCGCACAAATCCATCTTATTCCACGCAACTTTCAGGAGATCCATGCCTGCCTGCAGACTTTCTACAGAGCGCAGTACAGGTTACAGGCCAATTGCATCTCCTGGTAGGCAAGCAAGCAAGCAGTCAGAACTATCAAGGATGATAGACGGCTTGGACTAGTAGCCAGTTTAAATATGAGAAACCATTCCAGCCCACTACCATTTCAGCTACGCACAGAGAGGCTACCTATACATTCCAGATCATGGAACATTGCCTAATTTGGCTATATATAGGAGCCCATAAAAGAGTTATATACTTTGTAAGTGTGTGCCATCGGCCACTGAAGTCCTTTGAAACTTTATATATCTTTTAACACAGTGAAGGTCAAATATCATGGCAAACCTCCACAAGGATAGAGCTCTCTGTTTGACCTATGAAGTTCCAAAGTACCCCAAAGTGTTTATTGTTCCTGGTGGGCCTCAGGAGTTAAATTATGCCACCTCTTTAAAAATCTCCAAAAATGAGATTTCTTTTGTCCTCCATGAAATATGAATCCCATGTGTTGAATTCCACAAAGTTCAAAACAACCACCCAAAGGCAAAAAAACAAATAAATAAATAAATAAACCACCAGCATTTCAGCCTCAGAGCACAGTGCCTAAAAGGCAATAGCAGTCAGTTCTCCTAATATTGCCTACAGACCAGGTGGGAATTCTGGTCTTGAACCAAATTTTCAGTCTCCAGACAATCCAGATTCTCCTTCAGGCTCAAGCAAAGGCAATAGGGCGTGAGGGTGAGCCAGGCAGGCTGTTCCCGTGGCAATTATGGGGGTCAGGTGAAAAGGGAAGATCTGCCAGTGATCTCTACCATCTTGGCTCCAACATTTACCAAAACACAGCTTGGGAAGACAGAATGTCCCTCCCCATGCTCAAAATGTGCTCTCCCTCCACTCCCCCCAAGTTCTAAGACTCACCTCTGGTTCAAAATAGACTTCCAACTTCTGTTTGTCCTGGACCAACTTCCCATGTCCCCGGCTCAGGAGAGAGAGACCGAGCATGTTTCCTCCCTGACTACACCCTCTCTCAAGAGCAGTTCATCTCGGTTTTGAAGGCTGAAAACTGGTCACGCCTCAGGGTTTCCAAAGCTCAACAGCAAACCAAAAGAGACCCCGAACATTGGGCTTTTTATGAAATGTATTTCCCCTCTCACAGAAACCCAGGATCTCCCAGCCACACAGTTTAGACAGAGCACATCTTTGTGGGGAGGAGAGCAGAACTGCAAGGCTCCTCAGACAGCAGGCTGTATACCCTGGGCTCCTGTGAGCCCTTGTTTTGTCCCTGAGACCTGGTTGCTTTGCTACAGAACCACATGCATCTGCGAATCTGGGCCAAGACACCACATCCTTCTCATTGTGAAGGGAGGTTGTTTCCTGGTTGCTACAGCAGCACAGGGAAATAAAGTCTTTTAACCCAGGCAAAGGCACTGCTGCTCCACTGGCTGGGGTGGGGGTGGGAAGCTGTCCACTGGACATTGAAGGGACTGGACCAAGACCTGGGGGGTAGGAGGTGGGGTGGGAAGCTGTGTTGGGGTGTCTTTTTCTAATGGGTGTTCATCTTGCTTTTAACAAGCGTCTTCCCTTTCCCCTGACATGTGAGCCTGTCACTGCCAACTATTAACAGACTCAGAGAGTCCTCTAGGTCACAAAAAGCCACTCATGATGTGTCCCTTGGCTGTGCCCCAGGATCCCCTGAACTGGACAGAAGGCTTCATTTTACTCATGGCTGCTTTGTGTGAGTGACTGGGAGACACCGGCAAGTTCTGACTTCTTTGCATTTCTGGTTCTCAATGGGGGACATTTTATTTCACACACACACACACACACACACACACACACACACACCAAGACTATACCAGACGCACACACACCCCACCCCCGCACCTCCCACACACCAGGACCATACCACACCACTCTTGGGCCTAGAATGTTAAAAGTCCTGCAAGGTGTGACTGTCTTGCATAATGAACATCACTTGGCACCCTTGCTTGCTTCTCTTTGATGATGAGCACAAAACAAGCCAGTGGGGGCCAGGAAGTCAGAGGACCCTGTGATTGGTTAGGACCCCCTTTTGACCAGGGAAATCAAATGGCTTGTGTGGATGCCCCCTGATGGTTGGTATTCAGAAGCGCAACAACTTGCGGGCCTACCTACCTATCGGTTTCCTCTCCGTGGAGTCTTCCCAGGGCTCCAGGTCTTTGCCCTCCACCCCCACCGCAAGGCAGGCTCAGACCTCCTAGTGTTAGACCTCATGCTGTGAAACGAGATTGAGTGCACCTGGGGAATTAAAATCTTGACCACAGAGGTTCAAAAATGAGTTTAATCAAATTAACAGTGAGGTAATGCTTCACACTTGGGAAGCTGTAAACAAAGCAAAGCAAAATAAAATAGCATTGATGAGGGACGCAAAAACTCAAAAACCCTTGTACATTTAAAATGGCACATGCTTGCAGAACGATGGTGGTAGCACACACCTTAATCCCTGCATTTGGAAGGCAGAGGCAGGTGGATCTCTGAGTTCCAGGTCAGACTGGTCTACAGAGCCAGGACAGTCAAGGCTACAAGGGTTTTTTTTTTGGTTTGTTTTTTTGAGAAACCCTGTCTCAAAAAACAAAATAAAGCCAAAAAGCAAGCAATAATAATTAAAATAAAACAGTGCTATACAAACAAAACAAAATAAAACAAAAAATAAACAACAACAAAAACCAGGCATATAATCAACACATTGTCCAGTAAGTCCATGGTTGGATATATTCCTCAAAGGAGTTTCTGGAAGCAGATGCCCAGATTTGTCTTCCCCGTGTTCATAGCCGCACCGACTGAAACAGTTAACACATGAAATCGATCCAGTTATCCATTGACACACAGACGATTGGATGAAATTTGACATATGTAGACAATAAAACATTTTATTCAGCCTTAAAAAGAGAAAGAAATTCAGAAATGTGCAACAGTACAGATGAACCTTGGGGACATGCCAAATGAGATACGCTAGTGACAATATTGGTCAGGTATGGAGGATGTTACCTACATGACCTATCTAGAGTAGTTAGATTCACTGGACCAGGAAGGGGGACGGTGGTGGCCGGAGGTTGGGGACAGGATGGGAGGAGGGGGAGACACCGAGGGAGGAGAGGGATGGATGGGGGATATGCAAAGTTAGTGTTCTGTGCAAACTGCCTTTGGGAAAATGAAAGCCTCTGGAGAGTGCCTCACCATAGGTTAAGTGTTCTTAGTTCTAAGGAACTGTTAACTTAAATCTGGTTAAGAATGATAAACCTCTGTATCGTTTATCACAACTAAATTTTTTCAAATATATAGTAAAATTTCGAAAACTGAATCAAACACTTGTTAATCCAAGATGTCAGCATAGCCTGAAATGACCTGCTTACAACAAGTGGGACAAAACCCTTTGAAACCAGGGCTCTAAATAATTTCCAGGGGTCTTAGGCTACAGTCACACCTATCAATACCTTTTTAATACCTCTTCAAAAAAGAAGACCCTTCACAAAGCTTCCTAAGTGGTAACTACAGCAGAGAGGAAGCCCTAGTCTAGAAGAGTACCTCTTCCCTGAAAGACAGCTGTGTTCCCAGAGCTGGAGGACAGAGGGTGTTGGGGGGCATGAATGGGGGGCCATGGAAGACTACAGATAGGAAGGGTTAGGGTGGGACCTGAAAGGGCGGAAGTTCAGTGGGAAGATGTGAAGGTGGAGAGGGGGAAGGATGAAAGAAGACATTATAGGAGGCAGGCACACAGCAAAGGGGTGACCTCTCTGGTGGCCATCGCCATAAAGGTCAGGTACACACTGGCTTTTATTCCCTAGCCCTTTCCCGTCCTCTGTTTTAAGACAGGGTCTCGTATATCCCAGGCTGACCTTGAAATTGCTGCGTAGCCATGGTGATCTGGAATTCCTGGTCCTGCTGCCCACTTAGACGGGGTTTTCAAAGCAGGGGGGTGATGTGATCCCATCTGGGGCTTTTGAAAGGGAAGTCTGAGAAACTTGTAAAAGGTGATGGGAAGGAGGGTGCTTATCTCATGAACCTCTGGGTGAACTCTCAGGACTTGTAACCCGGGCCAGTCTTCCCTTGGACTTGACTGAACTCGTCAGACAGGTCAGGAGTGACTAGTCAGCTGCTATATGACCGTTGAGCGAGGTACAGAAAGAGAAACTCCATCAGCTGCAAGAAAACAGAAACCTTCAACATTTTAGAAATGGCATTGCTAAAAAGAGTGTGAGACACCTCAGAAAATTTTAAATTACAGTATCGGGAGGATGCTGAGAGAGAGCCGCAGCTGCCAGCTGAGCGGTGACTCTGCTTCTCTGGCTCCCACGAACGTTCTTTGTGTGAGCCCCACAGACTCTGAAACGTTGATTTGTCCACAGACAGTGAATGGGACACCAGGAAGTGATGGCCGTTCCAGTCTAGTTTCTCAAGTATCTTGCTTGAGAAAAACACCCAGGTGTCTGAGTGACCCTCTCAAGGCCCAGGAAAGGCAGCTAGGCCTCGCTGGGGTTGTAATCTGTGAGCAGACAGACCCCAAGCCACAGCAGGCCTCTCCTAAATCATCGTGTTTACATCCGTGCTGTTTCATATGGACAATGAGCAGATCTACGGATCAATTAATAGGCATTTAAAGGCATTTACCCAGTCCCCACAACAGTTTATGGAAAGTGCATTCAGAAAGCAATCGAGGTTATTGCCATTCTAAAGTGCTTGGGGATCCCAGATGAAAGGCTCTCGTAACCGGGAAGTATTTATAACTCGAGAAGGAACCCTCCACACCCGTGTTATACAACACGGCCACCACCCCCTGGCATGCCTGACCTGTCAGCCCATGCGGTGAGCATGTTTAAATTACACTGTAAATTCTATAGGGTGGAGACCGTGTTTTTATGGTTTGTAAAGCATCATGAATAACCATGGTACTCTGTAAATAAATAAAAACCACATGAAATGATGGAAATAGATGCCTCACCCCCTGAGTGTTTGGGAATTTGTCCCTAGTTTCAAAGTCTTTGGGTTCAATGGATGCCACTCTGCAAAAGTGTTCTGGGAGATGACAACGGGATTTTTGTTTCTCCCTTGCCCCTTTACAAAAAGTGTGTTTGTGTAATTTTATCTATCTTCGGTCTACAGGATCCACCGTTGCGGTCTTAACTTTCTGAAGAGCACAGAGAGAATAGTTTCACAAAGCTACACAGAGGTGACATGGGACCTTCCCTGAATTTGGTTCTAACTTGTTGTTTATACTAAGGTGGTGGTCACTATCCCTAAGAGACTCCTTCAAGGCTAATATTTGGCTTTCAGGAAGGTGCCACAATTGCGGCACAGGGCATAGTCTCCCCTTCAGTCTTGGGATGCTGCTCTCTCTCTCTCTCTCTCTCTCTCTCTCTCTCTCTCCCTCTCGGACGCTAGCCCTCTGACCTGACTTTCTAGACTCCATCCACTCTTACATCACCTGTCTAGCTCCTCTTTGAAAGTGTTTTTTGTAGATTTGTCGGGGTCAGCTCTCAACTTCTTGAACTACAGGAAAGGTGAACTGAAGGTCAAGAGAGCTAAGCACAGTGATCGCCACGAACACCAAACACAGGTTCCAGGGGAAAAAAACCAAAACTGAAAGACCCTAAAAAGATAGCCTCTGCCTTTGACACGTCATGCTGCCTTATACCGTGAGGGCTCTTTCACAGAAGGCCTTATTCTACACCCCCCTCTGTCACCCCTTGCACATAGTAGCTGCTCACTAAACATTTAGCGGTTCACTTTGTAGCACGCTCAAAGAGATGAGTAATTATCTTTGAGCCATTAAGAGATATAAATAAAGAGCATTAAGAGTTTAGGTCAAAGCCTGTCTTAGTAGCTGGTAGTTTTCTTGGCTGCAGTACAAAGCTTAGACTCACAGGTTAAAAGCATCAACCAACCCAAGGCTCAGTAAACAAAGGCAGAAAGAGTGTGGGAGATTCAACCCTCTTGACCTGTTGGGAGAAGCACAGGCTTGCTAAGGATGAGTACCTGACTTATTCAGGTTCTAGAGTTAATTTTTCACGTGAGTCTGGTCAGATGTGAAGGAAGACAATGCAGAAAGCAACACAGAATACTCTGGAATGTTAGGAAGGGAGA